AAGGGAGGAAATATCCAGGAAACTGAGTGAAGCTTCCAGCTGGATGGAAGATGAGGGCTATGCAGCCCCAACAAAGGTTAGACATCACCAATGTAAAGCTGAGAAAGAACCATTTGGTGGCTCTGGGAGGATGGACCACGTGTGCACCTCCAGAGGCTTCTGGGTTGCAGTTCCCAGCTTCCCCGCTACTGGCCATGTTGGTGGGGGCAGATGAAACTGGGAGTTCAGCAGTACCTTGACATTGTAGCTGACAGGGTAGGGGTGTTTTGTATGCCCTTGTCGGGAGCTCGTTGGAAAAAACTGCATTGGCTTAGCACAGGGTTGGTCAATCAGGGCAGCAGCCTGGCACGTGGCTGATTGTTTCCTGCCACCTCCTTGATTCAGTGTTTCACTCGGTTGCCACAAATAGCCCCATTAGGTCACTATTACTGGCACACATTTGACCAGCTGTCCTGGCATTCATGTTTTCTTCATGTTCTGATGAGCGGTGATGCTCACTGAGACGTGGTCCATTAATCATAGTCTAACTGCTGGGTTAGTTTCTGCGTGGATCCCTCTGGCTCGTGAAGGTGGCTCCTACAATTCCTGAGCTCCTGCCATACCAGAACCCTCCAAGGATGGCTTTGTGCCAGGCTCCAATTCCTCTCTCTTGCAATTTCCAGGAGCTGAAGGAGAAGCTTTTGGAGCTGAGAAGGGTGTGCCGGAGCCTCTTCTTCCGGGTGGAGGAGAGAAGGAAGTGGCCAGATCGCCTGGCTGCCCTGGAGAGCCTGCTGAATCACTCCAGCATTTTCCTTAGGTAGGAAGGAGGCAGGCCAGGGAGAGGATGAGGGTCCCTAGACCTCCTCCCCCCCACCCTTGGGAGAATCTTCATCTCCTGCAGCTGGGATTGCACATGTCCAAAGTGCCCAAGAGGTAGTCGGAGACAAGGCCTTGCAGTTTTTCACTCCTTCCATAGTGTTTCATGAATTGTGGAGCATCTTTGATTCTGTGAGTAGAAGCTAGAAAAGAGATTTCTGGGAAAGACTTCTGATTGAGGGGCCTCTGATTGCTGAGTTAAATGGAACTGCAGTTTTATTAGCAAAAATGGAGAGTGTGCTCTGAAGTCCAGCCTGGTGGCTTGAAAGAAGTTCCTCCCAGGAGGGAAGATTCTTCCCAGCACCAGCTGCCCTCTTTCTGGTGCAGTTGAGGGCTGCCTGGAGTGGAAGTTGCCACCGGTGCCAGAGGCACCTGCACCTGAGTTATGCTTCAGGCAGGCTAAACCCATTTCCTGCTCCTTTCAGGGGGGCCCGAATGATCCCAGAGCCTGATCAGGTATTCACCGATATTGAGCTGAGCACTTTGGAGAAGGCTATCAAGGAGACAGAGGTAAGTGCAACCACAGGAGGTGCCCACAATGTTGGGGGTTCCTGCCCCAGCAAAAGGGGGCATCTTTGGAGAGCCCACAAAAAGAGTGGCGCAATAGCTGCCTATGCGGCAGAAAACAGACTTGGGTGTGAGAGCCACACTTAATCCCAAAAACCACAGACAGCTTCTGCTCCAGGACCTGTTAATGCTCTTCTTATCTTCCAGTTCCTCCTGTAGGGCAGGAGGTCAATTTCCCAAGGTCACTTGGCTCTGGGGGGGGGGGAAGAATCTCCACGTGGCCTAGCCAGGATTTGTGGCCAGTCAGATTCCTCAGGTGGCTCTGTTGAATTCTAGTCTCCTCGGCCTTTATTATTCGGAATGGTAAAAGGCAGCTGTGATGTCCCTCAGGAGGGGCTCTGGGGGGATCTCCCATGCTGGCTTTCCCAAGGTGAGGAAGTGGCTTCTTAGGCAGACAGCAGACAGCAGTAAGTGGCCAGGAGATGAGTGCCAGTTCTCTTTTCTCAGGTGTGGAAGAACGAGACGCTGGCTGAGCAGAACAAGCTGCCCCCCACCGCCAAGCCTGTTCTGCTTTCCAAGGACATTGAGATGAAGATTGCAGGCTTGGACCGTGAGGTACAGTATCTTCTCAATAAGGCCAAGTTCTCCAAGCCCAGGAAGAGGGAGAACACTACAAGAGCAGAAGCCAGCAGGAACACCACTGGGTCCCCGGAGAATGGCAAGGCCGCTCCTCTGAGGCAGGAGACTCGGGAAGGTGAGCAGGCCTTCTGGCAGGTGTTCCCTGCCTCTAGATGCCTGGACTGGAGCCAGAGCAGTCCTCGGAAGCCCCCCGGGTGCCCTTTGCTAGACTGCACGTTGGGAATGGAGACGAGGGAGGGAGAGCTGCCTTCAGTGCAAAAAGGTCTCTCCACAACTGTGTTTTTTCTGCCAAGAGCAGATCAACTGGAAGATGCCAGTCCAGCCAAAGAGCCCCCGACGGAGAAGGAAACGCCACTGGACAATGAGTTGGACCCAGACGGAGGTAAGGAAACCCTGCTGAAGGGGGAGGGCTGGAACTGGGTCGAGGAGGAGGAGGAAGCCTTTCTTTGGTTTTTCCTTGTGTTACACTGGAGTCCTGGCTTTCCAGGCAGGAGGTCCCCACATTTGTCCAGGGCCACAAACGCTACAGCACCACAGTGGCATTTACCTGTAGTCCTCACTCACTGGTCACTTGCTCATCTACCAAATCAGTGGGGAAGCCAGCAGGGAAGGTCACAAGTTGCTCTGGTCAGTTTCCCTAGCCTCCTCGTGCTTGCACTGACCCACAGCCTCTTCTCAGCCATCCTGCCCTCATCCAGCATTGGGCCCCACTTCCCTGCCCTTCTCCTTCCTGCGGCTCTCCCCCCGCCTCCCAGCACCCCAGGCTCCTGACCTGGGTCTCCTGCCACTTCCCAGTTAATGGCCCATTTGTCTTGGAGTTAGGACAGCAGCTGGGGCTCCCTAAGCAGCTGGGGGGCCATGTGATGAGCCTTACGGCCACCTTGCACAGTAAGAGCAGTCCTGGTCCCAAAGGCCATCGTAGCCCAAAGAGTTTACCTGTATCATTTCCAGCATGGTTGACATTCCACAGAGATGATGGAAAAATAATGCTGGTTGAATGGATTTTGTGCAAAGCTGCTTAAGTGGGCTGGAACTTTCCACTCGCACCTGGCAGGGAGCTGGGCACAATCTGGACACTCGGAGTCCCAAATGAGCACCTTGATTGGCCAGAGACCACGTGCAGGTGTGGACTGTCCTTCTGTGACAACAAAAGTCCAAGCAGGATGTTTCTGAGAATGTTTCCTGATCCTTACATCTGAACATTTAACTGATTGTTTTCATCTTTAATGTAGGCCCACAAACAGGTGAAACTCCAAAAACAAAAGAAGAGACCCGAAGTAATGATGAATTATAACACTTCCTCAAGTCCCTGTGTGCATCATCAACATCTATTTATTTACAGTTAATTTTACTGTTTTTATGATGGACATGGTTAGTGGAACATGGCACAAACTGATGACAAAATAGAATTGTATTTTTCCCCCTTTTTGTTTGGGGATTTTGTTCTTGCTCATTTGGAAATTTTGTGCTGTATCAACTCCTTTCTTTAAAGACGACTTTCAGCTCTTTGGAAATATTTGTGGTGTCTGACCCAGCTTTTTCCTGGGATCAGCATTTTTCAGCAATGGATTAAATCTACCTGGAATTATCTAGGACACAGTACAGTGCATCTGCTCTGGGCTCTGCTTTTGATGCAGAAAGCAGGGCCTGGGGTGGCTCTCCTTACATGGAAAACTGAACATGGTATGCAGATTAAGCCTGCCTGAGAGGCTCCTTAGGCGTTTTGCTGCTGCCGCTGCTACTATCATTTTCCTTGTTCCGCAGCTCTGTGTCACAAAGTCAGATGAAACATAAATGGGTAGGCAGTAACAGTCTGAAAGAAGTCTTAAAGGTTCGGTATTGTATCATGAGGAGGTAATATAAAATAGAACCGCCAGGAGGCGGGCCATCAACCCCCCAGGCTGGCTGCTGACAAAGCAAGAGAGAGAACCAGTCTCCTCTGCCCTGCTTTCGGTTCACAATGCTGTGGCCAAGTTTTGCCTCATTCTGTACGTTTCAAGGGGTCTCTGCGCACCTCTGCCGCTGTTACGCAAGCTACGGGTGCTTTTAGAGGGTGGGTGGTCATTCTTTGCTCCTAAAGGTTGCTCAGTCTGATTTCTGGTAATCACTTTAATAACTCTGGACATGAGTCTTAACTGGGCATTTTTTTGTTTTGTTCGTATGATAGAGTAAGAAGTGGGTTACCAAGACTGGTTGTTTCTGAGTACGTGCTTTTTATTTGGGCAATTCATCTTGCTGCTGGGCTTTGAACTACTAAGGTGAGAAATGAAGCTTTTTCACAGTATGAAAAAAGTAGCCTTGCAGGAAGGCAGAGGAAGATCCAGTTTCTGTGTTCATATTCTTCCCTCAAGAAATCTCCTTCCTGGGGACAGGAAAAGAATATTCTGTATTTGTCAATGATGCCCAGCCTTGCAGGGCTCAGAGCAAACAGACTGAAATTCGTTCAGAAGTTTATATGTTGAGTTTCTCTAATTCTGTAGATTTCCCGGAGCGCAGCAGACGCCAAAAGCCAACCGCACAGCGAGCGGAGGAGCGGGGGGGGGGCTCGCTCCTCCGCTCGCCGGAGGTTTGGCAACCTGCCTCCGCGCCTTCCTTTGGGCGGAACTGTCTGCAGGAGCTTCACGGCTCTTCTGAGGACCGCAACGCTTCCCGTGGAGCTGCTTCGGGCAGGGTGCGCGTTCGCCGGACAGTCCCGAGGAGGCGGGGTCCCGTCGCCGAGCTGCCCCCGCGAGGAACGGCGGCAACAAAAGGCTTTGCGGCGGTTGGTCGGCTTCCTCCGGAGGAGTGCCCGTGCAAGGCGCATGCGCTCCCGCGGGCCTAGGTAAAAGGCACAGAATGGAGCAATTACTCGGAACTTGGGAAGCAGCGATTGGATGGCTGGGGAATGACGTCCGCCCTGGCCAATGGGCGGCCGGCGGGGGCGTCTCGGGCCTGGCGAGGAAGCGCGACCGTCTTCCGGCGGGGAGGGTACGTAGGGCTGCCGAGGCGGCGGGCGGAGCGGGAGTGGGGGGAGCGGGCGGGGGTCGGAGTCGCGAGCAACTGCGGGCTATTTCGGCGCCTGGCCGACTCGTCGGGCTGTCCTGGGGCGAGCAGAGGAAGCCGCGGCTTTCCTTCCAATTCCGGAAGGCCCTTTTCCGCCCGCTCCCTGGGCTTCGCCGAACCTCCGCCAAGGGGGCCCCGAGTGGGGTCGTCGGAGCCTCCGGGCGGGCCGGCAGAAAAGGGCTCCTGGGTCTCAGAGCCCGGTTTGTTCTGTGCCGCGCCGGCGGGCGGTGCCTCCAGGCGCTGCGGAAGAAGCAGCAGCAGCAGCCGGACGCGCCTCCTCCTCCGGTTCGGCCTGAAGCTCCCCCCCTCCGTTCTGGCGGGCCCTGCCCCGACCCGGGGGCGGCGTGATTGCCCTCGGCCTCGAGGCTGCTTTTTGAGGCCTTTGGGCAACCTGGGCAGAAGCCCCCGCGGCGGCTCTCCTGGCGGACCCGGTTCGGAGTTATCTGCCCTCAAAAGATCCGGGATGGATCAGGGCCAGTTTTTCAAGGACGCCTTCAGGGACCATCCAGAATCGCGACCTGCTGCCTCTGTTGTGGAGTTGTCCCTTCCCCCGGCACCTCTGCTCTGCGAAAGAACTTGTCATCTCCAAAATACCTATCACAACACTACTAGTTTTAGAAACTAATTTTAGGTTGCCAGCATGACTATAGGGATGCTGCTTGGTGCCACCAAGGTTCCCGTTTCATCAACACATGTTATTTAAATAGATACATCTTCCACCTGATTTTCTCTACATTTTTGATCTTAGACTTCAATGGGAAGCTAACATCGGCCAAACACAGCTTGATTTATTACTACAAGTAAAATAAAAATTTGCAAATCAAGTTTCTGAAACCTGCCCCAAAAAAAGAGAAATTAAAAGGTGGGGAGAAAAATTTGAGGCTCAAGGAATCTGGAGCAGTTCTTTTTCTGAAATTTTTTGTGTTGCAGATAATTAAGAATTTGCAGAATGGATACTGAAACAGATGGACACTAAACAAGGTGCCAGAACTGAAATAAAAGGAAATGTTTATTAAAATTGTCCCCATTGAAGCACCAGGAGTCCTTCCCCAATCTTCCATGATGGGGTGGTCTCTGAAGAGCCTGTTAGGTGTAATGGTTCTAGCCTAGAAAGCAGAAAACTCACTTCTAATCTTGCCTCAGGTATGAAAGCCAGCTGGGTGACTTTGGGCTAGTCCAGTGGTTCTCAACCTTCCTAATGCCGTGACCCTTTAATACAGTTCCTCATGTTGTGGTGACCCCCAACCCCCTATCCAGCTGGCCAGGGAGGTGGGGCAGGAAGGCCGCTCCGCCCAGCCTGGTTGGAGAAGCGCCATTTCTCTCCCTATTTCTCTCTTTCCTCTTTCTCTTTTCTCCCTCTTTCTCTCTTTCCTCTTTTCCTCTTTCTTTCCTCTCTCTTTCTCTTTCCTCTCTCTTTCTTCTCTCTCTTCTCTCTATCCCTCTTTCCTCTCTTTCCCTCTTTCCTCTTTTTCTCTTTCCTCTCCCCGTTTTTCTCTTTCCTCTCTCTTTCTCTCTTTCCTCTTCCTGTTTCTCTCTTTCCTCTCTCTCTTTCCACTCTCTTCTCTTTCCATTCTCTTCTCTTTCCTCTCTCCCTCTTTCCTCTTTTTCTGTTTCCTCTCCCCATTTCTCTCTTTCCTCTCTCTTTCCTTTTTCTCTCTTTCCTCTCTTTCTCTTTCCTATCTTTTCCTCTGTTTCTCTTCCCTCTCTCTCTTATGGCAGCATCGTTGGGGGTCCCCGCTGCCCCCGGCCTGGCCTCCGCTGTGTCCTCAGCCAAACGGGCTGGGAGGGGAAGCAGGATGAGAGGCAATGGCTCCGGCGGCGGTGGCCACTGTTGCATCGTTGGGGGTCCCTGCCGCTTCCAGCCCGGCTGCCGCCTCCGCCAGCCCCTCTGCCAGCCTGGCTGCTCCCCCCCCCCCAGGCATCCCTTTTGCCCCAGCGCCAGCCCAAGCCGCCTTGGGGGCAGCAGGAGAAAGGAGAGGAGAAGAGCGAGAAAACCGCTGCCGCTGCCCCAACTGGGACTCCACACTGTCCGGCCTCGCCTCCACCCATCCGATGGAGCCGTGGTGGAGGCTGGTGCCGCGCGGCCTGCCAGCCCGGCTGCTCCCCCCCCCCAGGCATCCCTTTTGCCCCAGCGCCAGCCCAAGCCGCCTTGGGGGCAGCAGGAGAAAGGAGAGGAGAAGGGCAAGAAAACCGCTGCCGCTGCCCCAACTGGAACTCCGCGCTGTCCAGCTTCGCCCTCCGCCCATCCGATGGAGCTGCGGTGGGGGCTGCCCACCCGAGCCGCCTTAGGGGCAGTAGGAGGAAGAAGGGGAGGAGGAAGAGGATGGCAAGGAAGCCGCCACCAGTGCTAGGCCCCAGGAGGCGGCTCTCCTCTCCTACCTTTGCTGAATCTCCTTCTTCCTTCCCGGCAGCCTGGACTCCAGCATGTCTTCCTGGCCAGCGGGTCCAATGGTCGGGCTGGCTGGGGATCGCAGGGGCTTATCGCAGGAGCTGGTCTTCCTTGGCCTAGGCTTGTGGGAGGGCTGGCCCGCTCAGCGGAGCCTCCAGCGGGCTGCTCCCAGCAGGGATCCCAGGGCTTCCCCGGGCGGCTCCAAGGCCACGAGGTCCTGGCCGCGCTTCTCCCAGGGGATGGGGCACCCGGGCGCAGGGCCAATCAGGAGCCCTGCAGGAGGTAAGTCCGCCTGAGAGAGAGAGAGACGGAAACGAAAGTGCCTCTCTCTCTCTCTGCAAATGGCGGAGGAGGCCGTGCGGAGATGGATGCAGAGCTGTGTCTCGGTTCCTAAAACCATCCGAAATATGTGTTTTCCGATGGTCTTAGGCGACCCCTGTGAAAGGGTCGTTCGACCCCAAAAAGGGTCACGACCCACAGATTGAGAACCGCTGAGCTAGTTCCTCTATCTCAGCCCAACCCACCTCAAAGGGTTGTTGTCACAGTAGGAGGAAGGAGTATTATGTATGTTTACTGCCTTGAGTTACTACAAATAAAGACAGAATAAAAATCTAATAAATACATTTCAATTGGCAAAGAAGTTGCTTTTTTAAAAAAGAAATTTTATTTTGTTAATTTTTACATCAAAGTGCTTAAGAAACAACGTGGTGATGGGTGTATCAATTATCCAAAAGCAAAATGATACATATATAACTCAGGTTAGTTCATTAAAAGTTCCCTCTCTATTTCCCCCATATAATATTACATATTCAAATTAATACATTTCTAGATAGAGTTCAATCAATCAAATCAGTCATCAATCACATTTCAGTTATAAAAATCCAAGTCCTGTTTTTAAGCTTTACTAATTTACAGTTACCATATTCCAATTAGCCTTGAATAAACATATTATTAACACTTCAGGTATCCCTCATTTCCCTTTTCCCTAACATAATAATTGTATCTAAAATAAATATATTGTTCCAACAATAACATTCTTATATTTTCCACATATAATCTATTTCTTAATCTAATAAATCATTTATTAATACCATTTCTTCTCTTATCACAGATCCCTCTTTTTCTCCTTCTATTACAAAATGATTCTTACTTCAAATAAAAATATCAGTCCAAAGGATACATTTCTATCTATTTTAAATGTATATTCTATCAATCAATCTATATCTATAGAAAGTCTTTTTAACCCATTAGTTAAAATTTACCCCTCCAAATAATTATCATATCTAATACAAAATATTATTACAAAAATATCCTTTTACAGAATTTACGTACTCCATTAGTTATTAAATCAGTCAAAATCTCTAAAGTCTTTTTAACCCATTAGATGAAATTTTGAAACACATTTTTAAATCTAATTCTAGCTTTCTTTCTGGGCCAAACCAGTTTCCATAATAAAGCTGCGTCATCAAACCTCAATATTTGAATAGAAATATTTCTCGACACTTCAGACTGGTCAAAGTTCTCTTCCCTTTCTTCCAGTGTCATCTGAATGGTGTAATCAGTTTTATTCCATGTTATAATTACTAGTTGATTGTCCACCTTATCACAATTTTCAGTGACTTGTGTCTGGATGTCAGTCTCCGTTGTTTTTAACAATTCAGGTAACTCAGTTAAAGTTATTCTTTGATCATCAAAATTCTACATGGATTGTATATGTGGTTGTGTAAAATTGATTTGCTCAATAGTTTCCACGATTTCTCCCAGTGTAAGTTCATAGTTGTGTTGTAGGTGTAATTCCTCCATCTCTTTAGGTTGTATGTGTTGTTGAGTGAAGGCCTTTTTGGGGTTACTGTTCCTCCTCTATTGTTCTTTGGCCTACAGTTTGATCCATTAAAAATTGAGAATCAGTTTGTGGTTCTGAGATATCATCTTTAATTTTTCTCCAAGATTTCATATACGCCGTAGCTTCCAAGATTTTTTCCAGTATAAGTTCATAATCAAACTGTGGGTAGGACTATTTCACCATTTCAGTGGTGAAATAGTCTTTTAATCTTTTAGTGGAGGCTGTATTTAGTAAGAGTCAACAAATATCCACCTCCAAAATTTCTAGTAGGTAAATTCATCACCCAGCTGTTCCAAGTTCTTTATTTTTTCCCTTTTATTATCATTTGAAGGTCAAATCCATTTTCAAATAGCAAAAGGAAATACAATTGCAATGACAATTTTCGCCACAAGATGTCCTCAGTGGACTGTAAAATCTTTTTTCCAAGTTAATTAAAATTTTGTCTCATTAGAAAAATAGAAAAAGAAAAACAGATATCTCCAACATAATAAATAGAATAATAATAATGTTCTATGCTAGAAATTTTTTTTCAGGATCCCTTATTATCCCAAAAATTAAATAGTCAATAAAAAGTTAACTATTTTATTTCTTTTGTCAAAGCTCTTTTTCCCAAGTACACAAACGCCACTCTCTTAAAACAGGGAAGTAGTTCAAAGGCTTTTTACAGGATAGTAATTAGGACGAAGGGAGGGAAAGGAAGGGTCTCACCCGGATTCACCACAGTGATTCTTTATGCTTTGCTGTTCTTCTGACTTTTGGCTGGTGTGGCTGGGTGATCGGCCATTTTACTGGCCGATCTTCTTCTCCATTGGCCCTGCAGAGCTAGCTTGGACTGCAGAATGGTGGTCGCCACTCCAGGGCAACTTTTTGACCCGATAGGGGTCTACTGGTGGAGGGAAAGCTGCCGGCCCAGAGTTGAGTCTCTCCATTACGACTGGGTGCGCCGTGATCGAGAACCGGAAGTCGGCAAAGAGGTTGCTTTTGTTGGGCAACTTATATAGCACTGCAATCTTTTCCCCCCTCCATCCCAAGTTGCCTTGTTAGACATCAGCAAGGGAAGGCTATGTATTAATGAGGACAAAGTGTCCAGCAAATATGAGGTGCCTGTTATGACAAAGAGGGAAATAATTACCTAAGTGGGATTAGAGCAGAAAATATTACATTTTCCAAGAGCTACCTTGTCTAAGCAGCCTCTCTTCCAGGTGTTAATTTAAAAAATCCAGGCCATTCAGAAGAAGAGGTATATCGGTAGTAAGTCAACAGGGGGACAAATTTTAGTACTTCTAAGGCTTCTTCCGTTACTTACCCAGAGTTACATCAGTGGAAAGGCTGATAAACAAAAGTTTGCCTTGAGGGTTAATTTTTGTAGCTCTTCCTTCCAAAAGAAAGGAGGCTTTGAGCCAAGGTGATTGTGTTAGGAGAAAATGGAGCAGGTTTGTTCTCCTATGTAAGAGAGCCCCTTCCTTGCATTAAAAGCATTTCCACCAGCTGGCTGTTCCTTCTGTCCTTTCCTTCTGGGCAGCATTCCAAGGCCTGTCAGTGTCCTTTAAGGACCTTTGCCCTTTGGGACCTACATACACCAAATATTGAGTCTCCTGCTGGAGTGGCACATCTTTAGCCGTTAGCCTGCAAGGAGAGCCTTCTCCATAGGTGGACTTTATTTTATTTGCCCATGCTGTGAATTGAACTGTGATTCTCAATGGCTCCTCCGTAGCACACCTGCTCCTGGTATTTTGTTCTTCTGTCCATGAGCTGATACATCTCAAGGGTATAATGAAAAGTTATTGTTCTTAGGTTCTTGCCTAAAAATGGGGGTGGGGGCGGGGTTTCCTGATTTTTAATCTGCCTGCTGTGCCAGATGGTCTTATACCCAAGCAGATAAATATTTTTGTGCTGAACTTGCCTTCTCCAATGGGCGGCATTTGACCCGCGTTCTGTGGTGTTTCTCAGCTTGCAGCAGCAGAATGGTCTTCGCGCTCAGTGTGGCCTGCCGAGAGCCAGGTGCTGCTCTGAAGGAAGGTGGGCAGGAGGGCCAGTCCTGACGCAGGAGGCTGCTTGTTCCAGGAAGACCTTGATCCACCCTGTTTGATCTTGCACTATTTGAGCTCAGAGGTCAGGACGAGGGAGTGAAAAAAAAAAAAGCCTGGCTAATCTTTACATTCTGGACACAAACTCTGTTTGTTACAGGCTGGCTCTGTGGGGCTCCTACTGTGGGTGGGGGCCTTTATACTGACCTCTGTGTCCTGCCTGGCCCTCAAGTTAATCATTCTCCAGGAGCGCGGTTGAGATCAAGCCAGCCAGAATTTCAACGAAGTCTCTGACCGGCAGAGACACAGCTGCTGGCTCCCTCTTTTGAGCCCTTGGCTGCCACCCGTCCTCTCCCCTCAGCCAGCAACTCTGCTGTGCCTGCAGTTTGGACTCCTAAAAGCGTAACAGCCAACTCCTTCCCTCCAATCTGTTTCTTAGCCCTCGGAAGCACAAGTACACCCAGCAATGGCGGCAAAGAATTACAGCTATCACCGGTTTGTCATATTCACTGCTATGTATGTTGGGTACACCTTGTACTACTTCAACAGAAAAACCTTCTCCTTCGTGATGCCTTCAATCATGGAAGAGGTACAACTGGACAAAGATGATTTGGGTGAGTTTGTCCCTCCCTCCCTCCCATTTGTTCATGGGATCCTTAGAGAGAGGATATTGCTGTGTATGTTGGGTATACCTTGTACCGAAAAACCTTCCTGATACCTGTCTGAGCCCCTCTCAGGCCAAGTCCTGGCGACTGTGCCATTGAGGTTTTTCTGGGGCTCTTGTCCAATTTAGGTCTCATCACCAGCAGCCAATCTGCCGCTTATGCCATTAGCAAGTTCGTTAGTGGTGTCCTTTCAGACCAACTGAGTGCCCGCTGGCTCTTCTCTTCCGGCCTCCTCTTGGTGGGATTAGTCAACGTGCTGTTTTCCTGGAGTTCCACCGTTGCCCTGTTTGCCGGACTGTGGTTCTTCAACGGGCTGGCCCAAGGCCTGGGCTGGCCCCCCTGTGGCAAAGTGCTACGCAAGGTAAGCGGATGAGCCAATTTGTTCCCTGCAGGGGCAGTTTGGTCCCTGGGAAGTCACCAGAAGATGCCCCCCTGTGTGAGTAGCCTCTGGCTCTGCCTTTCACCATGCAGAGCCCCAAGCTGAGAACGCTGCATTGGCTGACTTTTTGAGCTAGCGCTGGGAGCTTGCAGCTCTTTAATGGAACCAAGAACTGTCCTTGCAGCTGTGGGGAGGCAGAGGCTGCACCTGTGCTCTCTGCTGATCAGAGATGTCATTTTTCTCGAAGGGGCTCGAATTGGCAAGGGCAACAGGAGCTATAAATTGCAAACAGTATCATGTTGCTCTCAGATATTTTGGGGCTACTTGTCCCCTCCTTTGGGCCTAAGCAAGTGGCCTAGTTCAGAGACAGCTGGGCCTTTGGTAGCTAGGAGCAGTCTCTGGCCAGCTGGCTGCCTTAAAAGAATATGCAGATCAAAGGCCAGTCTAATCTACAAACACTTCTGGGAAACTGTTACTCAAGTGGCTGCCTGCTCCTGCTTAAGTTCCCTCACAACTCCGCGTTCAGAGGCAAGGACTAACTGTAGAAGTCATGACTTGAGCTCCCTGATAACCCAGAAGTAAGCTTTGTGGGGTGTCTGCTGCATTGCTTGACCTCATCTGTATCCATGAACTTGGAGAGGTGGAAGGCACAGGCCCCCATGTCTGTTGCCACTAAAAAAGTGTGCTATATTTTTTTATTAAATGCTCTTGTCAACTGCTTTGAGGAAATCATGCTAAACAATTGATGTGGAAATGCACTTCATTTTGCGCTCTCTATCTCTGTCTATCTCCCTTCTCTATAGTGGTTTGAACCTTCCCAGTTTGGGACTTGGTGGGCTATCCTCTCCACCAGCATGAATCTGGCCGGAGGGATCGGGCCCATTATGGCAGCGCTGATGGCACTGAGTTATGCCTGGCGCACTATCCTAGCCCTCTCTGGTTCACTGTGTGTGGTTGCCTCCTTGGTGTGCCTGCTCCTGATTAAGAATGAGCCTTCAGATGTGGGACTGCCTAACCTTGACTCTCAGCCCAAGAAAGGGAAACAAGGTGAGCGTGTGGGGGATTATGTTCCCTTGATCAGAGATTACGATCTTCAGGACCATGAAAACAGCCTTTTCCATTGTGTCTCCCTGCTCCTTCCCCCTGGCCTTCTGGAACTACATAGAAACTTTGCTGTGATCTGAAGCCAGGGATGCAGGTTTGTTATAAGTATCCCTCTTCATGAAGAATTGCTTTTATCCTTATAAGTGTGTCTTCCATTTACACTGTTTGAATATTGGGGGGTGGTGTGCAAATCAATATAGCAACTTATAAGGCTAATCTATCAATAAACCAGTCAGGCTTCTTTTGAGGAGCAGAGAGGGAGTGTGCCGTCTGACCGAGGGCCAGGGCAGAGGGGGGCAGGAGGATGGTCAGATTGCTGAATGGTCTCTTTCTTACAGACTCCTCGAAGGATGACAGCACCTTGGCGGAGCTGCTTTGTTCTCCATACCTCTGGATCCTTTCTTCGGGCTACCTGGTGGTGTTTGGTGTCAAGACATGTTGTACTGATTGGGGACAGCTATTTCTCCTTCAGGAGAGAGGACAGTCTGCCCTTGTGGGTAGGAGGCAGCGCCTTTCTCCTGGGGTTTTGAGAGCTTAGCACGTCCTAAAGGTGGACACTTGGCCTGGGTAAGCCAGAGTCTGTTCTGTGGGGAGGCCTTTTGCATGACTAACCAGGGGAGGCGTCAGGAGTGGCCATGCAACAGGCAGGGATGCAGCCTCGCTGGAATTGTCACTGTGCTCTTTGCTCTTAGGCAGTTCCTACGTGAGCGCCTTGGAAATTGGTGGCCTGGTGGGCAGCATTGCTGCTGGCTACCTTTCAGACCGTGCAGTGGCCAGGGTAAGCATGAAGGAGAAAAGGCAGCCCTGGAACACTACATAGGTCCTGCCTGGATGCCAGGACAGAGACGATTTTGTCTGGGATGGGTTGACAAGATGCTTCGTAACAGCACTTCATTTTGGATCCACCTGTGTGTATATGTGTGTTGCAGGTAGGTCTCTCAATCTACGGAAACCCTCGGCATCCCCTGCTCATCCTGATGATGGCCGGCATGGCTGCCTCCTTGTTCCTCTTCCGAGTCACAGTAACTGACAGCTCCGCCAAGGTAAACCATAGGAAGGAGGCTCAGTTATACCAGACAGGCATTGAAGGGAGTCAAAGCTGTTGCTCTCCAGGAGGGAATTGTTTTTTTCCCCCCAATTCTCATCTCATTTATATTGTCCCTGTTTGAGTAGATAGTGAAAGGTGGCCATTTAGGTAAATGCCACATCTTATAAGGATTTCCACAATTAAAATGAACTGTGTTTTTAGAAACAAATTTTAATAGAACAAAACAAAGTTTTGCAATTTTCAAGGAAACAAAACTGGGTTTCTGAAATCAAGGTGAAATTAATTTCCTGGATAGATTCTTTGCTTCCTGAACTTTTGGCAATTACAAGCCCATCTATTGAAGCCTCAATAGGCCAATTATGGGTTCCTCCCAAAACTGAGGTGTTTCTTCCTCTGGCTTCAGCTCAAAAAGCTTTCTGAGAATTCCAAGGACGGGGAATCTTCAGACGCTAATGATGATGTCCCAGTCAACAACGATGGGGGATAATAGGTCTTCCTGCCATTAATTTAAAATTTTTAGCTAGCAAAGGTGCTTTGGAAAATTACTAGTAAGGGTTTTCCCCTTCTGGGATTTCTGCTTCTGCATACAATTATTACTGTGCTTTGTCTTTTCCAGACATTCTCTCCTTGCTCCTTGCTCATTTCCCTTCTTTTTTTTCCCAGGGAAATTACTCTTGGAATCAATTCCTCTACCCTCTGGCTGATCTTGTGGGCTTTACAGAACATGAGGTCTTTGTTCTCTCTCTCTCTCTCTCTCTCTCACACACACACACACACACACATACAGATTATGTCAATCATTTTATGTTGCTTCACCCACCCACTATGGCTTCTAGCCATAGAAATGGGAGACCCCCCCTCTGCAGAAACAGTTCTTACACTTTCCTAGTTATGCTATCCTTAGATTGCAGTAAGATTTGATATTTTTGATCTAAAAGTTACCTTAAAATAGCAGTTGACTGGGGTGCTGTTATTTCTCACTTAATGGATTACTGAGAAACAATTAACTGAAGAAAAGATTAAATTTTGCTGTGCTTCATAAGGCACCATTTTGCAGACAGTGATGAGGAAAAGGAGTCCGTGGCAAGTGCAGGTAGTAGGGGAAGGTACCCTAATCGTACACCTAACCTTTTGTCCTCCTGTTTTTGTAGCTCTGGATCTTGCTGTTGGGAGCCGTCTTTGGATTCTGTTCTTATGGGCCAATTGCTCTGTTTGGCGTAATAGCCAATGAGAGTGCACCGTCCAACCTGTGTGGCACCTCTCATGCCATCGTTGCCCTAATGGCCAATGGTATGTGAAAACAGAATTGAACCAATTGAGGATAAAAGCCCACCTTGCACTCAACTCCCTTTCTCTTTTCAGTGGGAGGCTTCCTGGCTGGTCTGCCTTTCAGCACAATTGCCAAACACTACAGCTGGGGAACAGCCTTCTGGGCAGTGGAATTGATCTGCATAGCCAGCACTGTGGCCTTTTTCCTTCTGAGAAATATCTGCACCAAAATGGGTCGTGTGCCAAAGAAAATTGACTGAAGGGTCGCGTGACTTGGCTGCAAAGGAGCCTTCTTGATCCACAGCTAGGACTTCAGAAAGAAAAAATATAACTCTAAGCAGGTTTACTGCCTGCCCTTATAAAGTGGTGGCAAAATCTCATCTGGTTGTTACTGCCAGGTCTCATCCTTCAAAACCTAATGGATGCCTTTAGTAGTTGGAACTCATGAGCAAACATTTGCCTGTCACAGCCTCTGCTGGATTAACTGGCAGCGCCCAGCAGTAGGAACAGAGCAGCTGAATAGAAGTTTCACTTTGAGGAATTGCTTCACTTACACCTCCTTTTGGTATGTGTTCTTCCCTCATTTCCTCCATTAGGTTTTCAAATGACATTTTCCAAATCTTCCCACAAATTTCACTCAGATATAAACAAACAGGAAATGGAAAAGAAGGGAACAATACTTTTACTCTATTTAGCTTCAGTCAATAGTGGGTAAGTTTAGAAGTAGACTAAAAACTACTTTTAGAATTTGAGAAAGGGTAACCCTCAGATCAAACTTTCTTGATTATATCACAAGCATCAGTATAAACAGGTGTTCAATGTCCCATATCTTTAATAGAAAAAAAGCAGTGTTTAACTGCTGGGGTTGGAACTGCCTAACAGTTCTGCAGCAGTGAAGATCTCCAAATGTAATTAGATGCCTTTATGAATAAATTTTGTTACATTTACTATAATAGATTCTAATTTATGACTGTTGTATGGAATGTGTGTGTTAACAAAAATAAAGAATTTTCCAGTAAAAGCTATATCTCCCCTGCTGAATCAGGTGGCATCTAATAACAATAACATCGACCTATCCCAGGTCCTTGGGAAGGATTTAATAGGTGGATAAAATTGATAAATTCAGTCTAAACATCTGGCTGAGCACATAATAATAAATGTTGTTGTTGGACGATTTATCCTAAAGTCAAGATTAAAGTCTTCTTTCTTTAAATAAATTTTATTTCCGCATGCAATAAACAAAGTGCAGAGCATACATTAACTGTGTACATGCAGCCAACAAGGTTTCCTTCCAGCTCCCGGCAGCAGAGGCTGTCCAAACAAGGATGGGGTCGAGGGCTGACCGAGGTAGCAGGGAAGCCTTTCCGGTCCCAACAGAAGCGGGAGAACCTGGCCCTATAACCCGGGGACAAAGGGGCCTGCCGCCTTCTCTGCTGTCTCCAGTGCAAGCTTCAAGTTCTGATCAAAGAGCTCACATCTGAAATAGGAGCATAAGAGAAGCAGACTGAGAATAAAAGGCCACCCATGCTCATATATCCACATTTTTCATTCTATCTTTATCAAGGATTTTTTTTCATATAAATCTTTGAATTCAGCATTGTCCCTTCATACTTATTGTATAAGTATGTGTAAAGAAGACTTCAATGTGCCTTGAAGAAAATTCCTTATTCGTTCTTACTTGCAGATGTTGTGTATGTTAATGTATTGACACTATGGAGGAAACTAGGAAGGAAAGAGCATCACGTTTCTAGCAGCACCCCTGAATTACAAGAAATGAGAGAGGAAACCAATCGGGGGTCGGAGACTTCCTCCCTGGGCGGTCAGTACACCCCACAGGCTCAGACCAAGCGCCAGGACCCTTTTTGGAATTAGGACAGCCACCCAAAGTGGACGGGGCCGCCCGGAGAGGCTTCCCAAGGCTGAAGGGGCTTCAGGGGCACCTGATTGGCATCTCCAGGGAATAGAAGGGGTTTTTCAGGGCGAAGTCCGAGTAGATCTCGTAGATCTTGCGAAGAAGAGCCTCGATGCCGGCCTGCCGCGGGTCAGCCAGCACCACGAACTTGATCCCTGCGGAGAGAAGGGGAGCGCCAGGCCAAGGGGGGGCTGGAGGCCCAGTGCCCGCCGCCCTCGGCCCGGCCGCGGTTACCTGTCAGCGTCTGGAAGCAGTGCAGCTTGAAGGTGTCCGTCTCCAGCACCTCGATGCCGGAGCTGCCCTGCTCAGGGGAGAGCTGCGACCCGATGGCGAAGAGCCTGCGCGACAAGCGGGGCGCCGGTGGGCCGGGGGCCGGGCCGGAGGGGGCGCCCGAGGACTCCGCCCTCCCCGCCGACTCACGAGTGGAACATGGAGGCCAGCATCAGCTTCTCGTTGGAGGAGAGCCGCGGACGGCCGAAGCGGATCGCCACCGGGTAGTTGGCCGGGTTGCCCAGGAACTCCTGCACGTCCTTCCCGTCGGCGGTCAGGCGCCCGTTCACGTCGGCGCCGTTGATGGCCAGCACGGCGTGGCCCACTGCGGGGACGGCGCGGCTCAGCCAGGCGGCTTCTTCTCCCGCCCGCCGCCCGCCGCCCGCCGCCCGCCGCCCCGCGCCGGGCTCCCCGGGCTCACCGCGGATGCCGTCGCGCTGCCCGAAAGCCACGAGTACGCGCTCGTCGTGCGCGCGCAGCACCAGGTCCAGCGGGAAGCTGAAGATCTTCTCGGCCTCGGCTCGCGGAGCGTAGTGGTCCAGCTGGTAGACGAGCCCGCCGGCCTTGTTCACCACGAAGACGCTGAAGATGGCCATCGCGGCACCCGTAGGCGTTGGGGCGCCACACCTCGTCCGGGGCCGGCCGGAAGTACACTCGGCCGGGGAGTTTCCGGCCTGCGCGGACCGCCGCCTTCCTTTCCAGCCGGAAGCCGCCCAGGAGAAGCACGTTTCGCCGCCAGCTGCGCCATGGTAGGTAGGCCCCGGGCCGGGTGGCAGGGTAGGTGGCTGGCCGGGAGGCGGCTGACCCCTCTGGCTCTCTTGCTTCCTCGCAGCCGCCCAAAGACGACAAGAAGAAGAAGGACGCGGGCAAGTCCGCCAAGAAGGACAAGGACCCCGTCAACAAGTCCGGCGGCAAAGCTAAGAAGAAGGTGGGCGCCGGGCCGGCGAGGGGAGGGCGGGGAGGCGGGGGGTGTCGGCGGCCCTGACGGCCTTCTCTCCCCGCGAACAGAAGTGGTCCAAGGGGAAGGTGAGGGACAAGCTGAACAACCTGGTCCTCTTCGACAAAGCCACCTACGACAAGCTCTGCAAGGAGGTACCCAACTACAAGCTCATCACGCCCGCCGTGGTCTCGGAGAGGCTGAAGATCCGGGGGTCGCTCGCGCGAGCTGCGCTACAGGAGCTCCTGGGCAAAGGTGAGAGGCCGGAGACACCCCACTCGCCTGGCTGTCGGCCTTGAAACACTGCAGCCCAGGGGCCTCCCTTCCTCAAATTTTCCTGCTCGCTTCCAGGGAGGCTTGTGATCCTCTGTTGTGTGTTTTCTCCTGGCAGGTCTAATTAAACTGGTCTCCAAGCACAGAGCACAGGTCATCTACACCCGAAACACTAAGGGAGGTGATGCACCAGCTGCAGGAGAGGATGTTTAAAAAGGTGAGCCCAGATGACCAGTACAGCTCCACATGGCCAAAGAGAACTTGGGTTGACCGACTACATTGCATCAGAGAGACCTAATTTCTTCTTCGGTTTGCTTTGCAGATTTTCAAATGGCTTTCAGAGTTAATTGTATAGACGTGAAAATAAATTGATTAAACTCTTTGAGGCTTTGTAACGATCTGAGCAAATGCTAATAAATATAATGGCTTTGCTGTTTTTGAATGGCAAAAACTTTTACAGATGAGTACGTGAAAATAAAACGAATAAAATGAAAGCACCAGGTGTATAATAGCGTGGGCAGTGCAAGTAGGCAATCTAGTGTCTATCTTGATAAATAAGTTTGAACAACTTGAATAAATAAGGGATATATAGAAAGTCATAGATGAGCTCCTAACTTTGATGGCAATCTCCTATTTGCTTTGTGGATCTTAAACACAAATGCACCTTGCTTTTAATATTTTGTAGTAGCAGCACGCATTTATTGGCAACCATAGTTTTCAATAAAATTCATCAACAATTATAAATACCAGTTTTATTATAATAAATGTAATTTTAATACAATTATATCCTTAAGGATATAAAGGTTACAAGAGCAGAGCTCAGTTTTATTGGAGCCACCACAAAGACTTCCACAGCTGTGAATTCTGCCAAGCTGTCTTGGGAATGCAGACCTTTTAGCTGGTTAGAGGTCTTTTCCTTTTGGACTCAGGCTGCTTATTTCCGGATTCAGCTTTGAACTGATGTCTAGAAAAAAGCAGTGCCAAAGACAGCAAGTTGAAACAGTTTATTTTCTTACATCAAGGACAGGAACTTGAGAGGCTGGATTCCTTCTATTCTCTTCTGCAATGGGAGGTTCCAGCACCCATACATAAGCTCTTCTGACCATATATTTTATTTATTATGCATTTCCAGGGTCCGCTTTGGGGAAGATGGGCAGCCATGCAAATATAAATGTTCATATTAGCAATCATTGGATTTAGGAAGCTACAGAGAAGATTCCAATAATTTAATCAGTTAAATTAATAGTAGAATGTATGAAATAAGTTAATCCATAAATTATCCCATTCAACAAATTCAGAATAAATGAGAAGGATGGGGTGGCAGCCAACACACACACACACCCCGCACACAGACACAGCTGTCTAGCAACATGGGAGAGACAAAAGTCATCTAAATATATTAATGGTGTTAGTCGTTGCCTCTGGCCTTCTCAGAGGAAGGTGTGTGTTTACCTGGATTGCCATCTTCTACCATGATTCCAAACGCGCCCAAAGGAAGGAAGCCAACCATCTCCTGTCTGACACAAGTGGTCAAAGTTAGCCCCAACACGGTTGGGTGGGAGCTGTTTCAATTTCTGCTTCTGTTCTTTAAAGATGACAGAACAAAACATCAAGTCATTCTTTGCTCAGTTCTTCCTGCTGGACCCCACAGGCCAAGCCCTTGCACACTCACTTTCCTTAAGGAATTCTTCATAGGAAGGTCCAATCTGCCTCTCACCTTCCTCCTCTTCATTCATCAGCCAGGGAGGTTTTGCTCCTCAAGATTGAAAGGTGGACAAATCAGGAAAGCCCCCGTGTGCTTCTTTTCATGTGCCCAAGTTACATTGGCCATAATGAGAACAAACTATTTACAAAACTGCATCTGCCACACTACCATGTACAGCAGTATGCATTTCATGATTAACCTCATTTTTAAGATATGTACAAACATCAGGTTAAAATGTGGTTGGCAAATTAATGCTTCACTGTACTGTTTCAGTAATGATAGAGATTCTTTTCCCTCCCAAGTCAAGTGTCCATCAAGGGCAAAGCCAGGCTCAGCAGGCATTTCAGAAAGCCGACTCCAACCTACCTGTGTGAACGTTGCCCTCCCTGCCTGTTTCCTGCATTTGAAAAAATGAAGGAAAATCCCAAATTAGTACTGTAGGGGACTGGAAACCTGAAAAATGCCACAAGCAAAGTTTCAAAAGGGATTGTGAGTCCTGCAGCCAGAAGTATCGGCTCCCCAATCCAGCAGGCAGTAATGGACAGCATCCCTTTTCCCTCTTCAAAATTCGTGGGAAACAGAGTAAGATAGGAGACCGCACCCAGGGCAGAAACTTGCTGCTGGGGATGAAAGGCAAAAGGGAATTCCTAATGGAGTACCTGGTGGCCAATGAAAGTTAAGGGCTGCCCTGTTTCAGGGTACTGTAGCTCAGGCACAGTCCTGCTGGCACAACTAGGGTCTTCTTGAAGAAAAGTGTTCCAGCTGGACCCAGGCTGCTCCTGCTCTTCCATAGCAAAAGGAGAATCACTACAACATAGAACATTTGTCAGCGCAAGCAAAACAGACTCAGCACTAAGGTAATGTGAAGAGGGTTTTGCCAGGAATAGCACAGGAATACAGAAGCAAGAAGGCCTCTAAGGTAACTCCTACCTTAAATTCCCTGTAAAGGTGTTGACAACAGTGGATCCATCACCTAGTGTGTCTGCTCTCTGTGGCTGAGTTTAATTCAGGAAAAAAACAGTGGTTTCAAGAGACAACAACATACTTTGCAATGTAGGAGATACCTTGAAATGTAATCTGGAGAGTTTTAAGATGGAGCAGATTCCACTAAATCACTCAGGCACAGAAGGAATTACCCCTAACCCAAGAGCATTTCCCCAGGGAAATTTTTTTAAGTTTATAATAGTTAAATTTGTAAATTACTATTTGAAATAATACATGGGCCAGAGCACAATACCTTAAAACTCCTGAACCATTTTTAGCTATCGAGAGAGGGAAGAAGGGCTGAGGAGGGAAGGCTGCCACAAAGAAATATAAAAAGTCAGTAAGTGATAGAGGGGAAAGATCTTGTGCCAGAAAGAGCATTTCAGCACCTGCAGATCTCAAAGGGCCCCTATTTGCTTCCCACCAATCGCTTTACAGGGTGATTTAAACTGGAGCTAAATAAAAAGCAAAGCCCCAATGCCTGGCACAATACCTACTTGCAGGAAGGTGCTTAGGATGAGGGAAAACATCCACTGTACTTGCAAGGCCTGTTATTTTCTGGGGAATGAAGTTGGCAAATGGCTTTGAGTTTAAATGCAGCGAGGGAAAGACGGGCAAAGAAGGGGAGCTAAGTGGGAAGATTCTGCAAAAACCGTTGCAAACATGATGATGGATACTGCCCACTCTGAACTTGGGCACACAAACCTCTAAGATGGCCTGGACCATCTCTCGTCTCTTCTGTTCAATGTTTCGGATATGAGCTGCAGCCTGCAATGAAGGAAGATGGACTATAAAGAACTCAGAGCTGAAATCAGGACCTTTTGCCTCCATGAACCACTTGGACATCCCCTCCCTCTCCTACCTCCTGGATGGCCACATCTTCCTTCTCTTCATAAGCATCCAGGGCTTTGCAGAGAGACTCCTGAAAGCTGGAAGTGCAAAGCAGCCCATCACTCCGGGCAGCAAGCACCATTGATGCAGCGGTGTCTTAATTTGGCAGCATGGGGATACAGTCTGGGCTCCCCGGAGCCTGGCACAACCCCTCAGCCTCCTCAGAAAGATGTTTTTTAAGAATGGCTGCATGGACTGGCACACGGAAGGCTGCCAACCCCCCTCAGACCAGCTTTGCCCGGGTCACAGCAGCCCAGCGAGGGGGAGGGGGGAGGAGAGGGAAGGGGGGAGCGCCACCGGGGAAACAGGCGAGCCGGCATAGGGGCCTCCGCCCGGCCGGGCCTCTCACCGCCGATACTCCGCCGCGGACAGTAGGAAGTCGGCCTTCAGCTTGGGGTCGGCCCTGTTCTTCCTCCAGAAAGCGGCCACGGCTCTCCCGTGCTCCGGGCTGCGGGGAAGCCAAGAGAGCGTCGTTCGCCCGCCGCTGGGTAGGCGCGGCGCAGCAGCCTCCCACCCGCCCCGCCCGTCCCCTCACCTGGCCAGGTGCTGCAGGAAGCCGCCGTGCAGCACCGTCCGCGCGCCGCGGCTCAGGTGGCGCTGGACCTCCCGCGAGCAGCAGGGGCACCAGGCGCGCCGCTCGTGCTCGCCGACCTGGAAAGGCAGAACCTCCGCCCGCCGCGCCGCCGCTCGCGCCGCCGCCACCTGCCCGGGGGAAGCGGGGGAGAGCCGTCAGCCGCGCCGCCGCCCGAGCCGGCCCCCGCCCGAGCCGGCCCCCGCCCCGCGCACCTTCTCGCCCAGCCGGGCCAGGGCCGAGCGCAGCCGCCGCTGGTGCCCCGCGCTGTACAGGTGGCTCCGGCGGCCTGCGAAGGCGCTGCGGCGGCATAGCTGGCAGCGGAACACCGTAGCCGTCCGGGTCGCCGCCATCTTGCGGCGCTTTCTTCCAGTGACGTCAGCACGCCCGCGCCCCGCCCCCTGCTTGGGCGGAGCGGCGGCGCCGCGGGCGGGGAGGGGCCGCCGGCTAAGCTCCTCTTCGGCGGCCGTGTGGGCGGTTGCTGCGGCCGGTGGGTCTTACGGTCTTTCGGTCGGCGCGGAGGACGCTTCCAACCAGCAAAATTGTGCCTCGGTAGCTTCCCCCGTGGCAACATGGAGGCGTACCAGACCCTCAGCCTTTATGTCTTTTCATCTGCTTCTTTGTTCCGCTTTCGGGTCTGTCCTGATTGGGAGGGGGAGGCCGGCCCTCGGCTGCCGGGGCTGCCAGTCTGGGGAAGGGGGGTTTCTGGGTTTCCTCCATTTTGTTCGTCATCCCGTTGATGCCTCTGGGTGTGAAGGGAAGAAGGAATACCTTACGTGCACCTCGATGGGAGGAGGATGAAGGAGAAACGAAACTCCGGAACGGCACCTGGGAATGGCGCTTATCACTTTGGTTCCCATAACAACTTCCCACCTGGGAATTAGATGAGGTCAAACTGGACATTTGGCCGTTGAGGTGGGGTTTGGGAAGTGGATAGTTTAATGTAACATTTCGCGCCGGAAAACTATCTCAATAAATGTTCCTTCTGAGACAATTCCTGTTTCAAGAGTTCTACTTTCTTGGGAGGATTAGTTGAGACAGGACCTTACAAGGAGGGGCAATATAAATAAACTCCACAAAAAATCACACCACTTGCTCTTTGAATGCATTTATTGGAATGCCAAGATTCTTCTCTAGGTTGAGAATTAAGAAAATTAACTTTTACTGCTGTTACTGCTTCAAACAGAAATTTCAACACAAAACCAAGTGAGGATCATCTTCCCTTCTTTCAAGGAAAAGGCCAACCAACAGCCTCCGGATCAGGATGAAGCTCCCTTGCTCAGTGCCTTCCCAGCCGAGGGCCAAGCAGGCGATGCGCAGAGCCTCACAGATTGCCCATCCCTGGAAAATTCATCCTCTTCCCCTTGGCAAAAGTCAGATCCTCCTTGGGAGCTCCGTCAAACAGCCATCTCTGCCAGTCTTCCAAACCCAAGGATCAGAGGCGAAAGAGAGACTGCATTAATTCTGGGGAAGGGAGATGAGGATGTTGGTTCACCAGGTCTGCCAAGAAACCCCATGGCAAGGGATTAGGCAGCCCTCCCAGAATCTGGCACTGCCAGGTGGTTCAGCCTGCTCACAGCAGACAGGATGTTGGGTCCAATTTCTTCCTCAACCAATCCTTCCTTTGGAAGTGCCCTGCTCCCAGCCTGGAGCACCCACATCCAACCAGGGGGTAGGAGGGAAGGGCTTCTGCTCTCCAGGGAAAGGCCCACCTGGCTTGTCCATGCTCTGGTGCACCAAGCCCTTCATATCCTCTGGTAGGGCCTGCGCCTCCTCCTGAAACTTCCGGCGGCCCTCTGTGGTTAACTTCCACAGGCGGGACTTGCGGTTCCCTTCAAGGCACACAAAGTCTGTGGTCTTCTCAAAGCTGCTGCTGAAGCAGAGGTTGTGCCGGACAGTGTTTTTCCAGCCTTCGGGAGCCGTGCGGAAGAAGGGGAAGTGGTGCCTGCCAAGAAGGCAAAGGGCCAGAGTCCCAAGCATCACACCCTGGCAAGGGCCAGGCCCACTTCCACGGGGTCACTGGTGGCCAGACCATAATGCTCTCGATGGAGCAGGAAGCCCTCTGCTACAAGGCCACCAAGAGCAGAGAGGGAAAGGAAGGAAAGCCCTCCCCTCTCCCAGCACCCTGTCATCTGCCTGGATGCTGCTCAGCTGCAAAAGCTGTACCTGGTGAACTTATAGATCTCCTGCACAGTCAGGCTGCTGTCCTCGCTGCTGCTCAGGGCAAGGCTAATCAAGATACAATAATTGAGAGGGGGGCGAGGCCAGCCACCCTGGGCCCGCAGCTTCCTGCTGCGGAATCCAATTCCCTTTGCATTCTGGCATGCCTGGTGGGGGCTCCGGGTGTCCTCTTTTGGAAGCAGGGTGGATTTGGCTTCAGTGGCACTCCCAGGATCCTGGCAAGTGCAAGACGGGCACATTTGAACCAATGAGAAAAACTGGTAAATGCAGCAGGAGAGGGGCCAGCAGAAAGAGGAACTGGCTCTGGGGCAGGGCCCACAGCTGTCCCAGGGAAGACTTGGACCCGGGTTGGCAAGGGTCTCCCTTGCCTCAGGCTCCCTGCCCCTCACTCTCACTTCTACCCAGTGTTTGTGCTTCAGCAACACTCGGTGGTGAGGGAAAGGTGGAGGGCGGGTTTTAAACTTAATCAGGAAGGCTGCCACAAAAAAAGCAGCTTCTGCAAAGCACCCCCCACCCGCCTATAGGCCCCGCCCCGCCCCAGCATTCTCCGAAGTTTCATGCTCCTCTCGCAGGGGGGGACGCAGCCTGAGCGCCTGCTGGCACCTCTTCTCCCGGACGGATGTCTCGGAAGCGGGCTGGGTTGCAGGACGGAGCCTCTGGAGCAGCGCGGGGAGGAGGCCCCGCGGCGTGTCCGGGGATGGGGCAGACGAGGTTGGGGTCCACCCACATCCACAGGTGCGGCTGCCCGGCAGTCTCTGCAAGGGAAGCAGCAGCTCAGGCATCGCTCAGCAACGCCGCCGCTCGCCCCTAACCACGTTGGGCCTCCGCGAGAACCCCGCAGGACCGGGGGGGGGCTCCCTCGCCTCGCTGCTTTTTTTATTCCGGGCTTTTCGAGCAAGGCCGGGGCCCCAGGCGAGGCCCTACGTCACTCGGTCCCTCCTCGCTTACCGCGAGCCTCCGAGAGGGAAGGGCGAAGGGCCTTGGCCGGGCCGCCGGTCGCCTGGTCGAGCTGCGCCGTCGGGAGGGCCTCCTCAGCAACTGGGGAGAGAGGCGGTTAGGCGGCTGGCCTCTGGCAGGGACACAGAGACGTAGGCGGTCCCGCCCTTTCCCGTCCGTGACGGGGGCTCATCCAAAGGAACGGCCGGGCCGAAAGCGACCCGGGTCACCCGCCGCCCCTCGAAAGAGGCGGGGAAGGGCGAGTCAGCGGCCGGGGCGGCTCCAGCAGGGGCCGCCTCACCTGGGGGCAGCTGGTCACAAGTGGCATCGAGGGCCAGTTCCCGGGCCAGGTCCCAGCTCTGGAGGCCGCTCCGCAGGTGGAGCCGGGCCCAGAAGTCCGGTCTCCGCAGGCGCAAGTCCATCCGGCTTTGGTGCGCACCACTTGCGCGGCCCGAGGGTTTCAGGGCGAGCCGGGCCGTCTTGGGGCGCTCGTCCCTTTAAGCGCTGTGCGCGCCGCCGCCAAAATTGCTTTGCATTCCCGACTTCTGGTTTGTGGGGACGGTAGAAGAGACACAGTCTGGGGCGGGCGAGGGAAAACTCTGCAGCTTGTTTCACTTTTCACACAACCGTTTCATCTCAGCAGAGATAAACTTGAGTTTAGTTGAGATATTGTTCAAACCCACACTCTACACTTGGCCATGGTTTTTAACATTGTGTAAACTTGGAAACTTGGGTTCAGTAAACCGTGGTTCAGCTAATCATGAACAAGTGTGAATTTATGTGTTTCTCCCATTAAAGCTCAGATTTATGACCATTAGCCCCAGGAATGCAATGGCAGGCTTGGGTAGCCAGGCGAGGACCAGATGGTCAAGGAGGGGGGGGGTCTTGGGCAACCCTACTCTGGATAGTGAGGGATGGAGGGAGGCAGAGAGAGATACAAAGCTGCCTTACTGTGCCAAAAGAGCAAAGCATATTAATGGTGTGCAGGAGCTGTTTTTTTGCAGCCCCTTCAAATTCCAGGGGCAGTTTGTCTTCTGCATCTATCTTCTTCTGCCAAGCAGATCTTGTATCCAAGTCCAGGCTTCCAACCCTCTTCTAACACCGGACTCATCCCCTCACCCTCCACCCAGCCAGAGACACAGCTGGGCCTGGCTATGACATCTTTGTCAGGCCAAGCATAAGCAGGTTCTTGCTCACATTTCATCCTCCGAGGGGAGAGGCCGTCCTTCTGCTCCCAGGCTTCCCTCTTTGCTGGTGAGTTGTGGAGAAGCAAAGGTGGCTGGAGTTTGCCCAGGTATGTGCTGAGGGCCCAGCACTCTGCACATGGCCCAGGGCAAAGAACCCTCCACTCAGGGAATAGGATGCTTCTCTAGTGACTTAATCCCACACAGGTGAGAGTGGAGACAAGGAAGTTGTGTAATCTCAATAAGCTGCAGTGCATTGCCCACCCCTTTCCCTCCTGGGTCCTTTGTGTTCTGAGACCATCGCCAAACTTCTACTGATGGCACACATGGGTTCTTTTGCCTCGCAGGATGCCATTCAGAACAAGGACCATCACACATTATGTGGACACAAAGTCATTTGGCTGTTGAACTATCCTACTTTCTGGACTGATTCACAACAAACCTATCCAAGATGAATGTGGTACAAAGATGCCACCACAGTTACACAGGCTGTGGGCAGGAGGTCAATTTAGACCAGACCATTGTTCTGTAGGATGACCCATTGCCTGCATTTCAACAAGCACCATCACTGAGAGGAATGGGATAGGAAAAGGTCTCCTTATTATCGTAGAGATGTAAAGGCCTAAATGACCTTAGCCCTAAGCCTAAAAAAATGGGATTTTGTTTTAAAAAAATTATCAAAATATGGTCAAATTGAAAAGTAGATTGTGTTTACTATGTTGTCATTTTAAATGATACATAAAATGGCTAAAATGCAGTAGTAGTTCTATATTTGGATCAAATGAAATACACCAAAATGAATATGTAAAAAGGTAAAAACTCTTCTCTCAATAGAAATAGTTCAGTTTTCCAGTCACTGAAAATTAAAGATTCAGAGGAAGTAAAAAAATGTGAGTAGTAAAACATTTCATATGACAACTGTTCATTCTGAACCTTGCCCCCTTCCTCAGACTTTCTCACTGAAAATCAGTCAAATGGAGGCTAAATCCTGACTGGTCTCTTCCCTTGGGCTGTGGGAGTGTCTCCATTTTCAGACCTATTTTTTTTCTCCACTTGCTATGAGATGCCATATGCAGCTTAAAACATCACCGGTAATAAAAATTTAAAGCATATTAAAGGAAGCTCTATTAATTCATAATTATGTTGGTCTTCCATTGCTTTTCTATACTAAAGTATACATACCATCAAAGCAAGGCAAGTTATAGATACTATATTTTACAAAACATCAAAATGGCTCATGTGGGTAAAAGGGATTAGAATTTAGGTATTATTTATATGGCAGCCCTTCCCCATTTTTGTACCAGAGCCAATGGCCTCCCGAGATACTGCTGTGGTGCCACTCATGGGAGGAGCCCCCTTTCGGGCTTTCTCCCACTCTTGGCCCAGATGCAGAGTCCGGTCAGGCCTCTTTCCCTCTGGGCCGAGCAGGTGGGGAGGAGTCTGTCCTGGACTCTGGGGTCAGATGGGCGATAGGGCTTTGATGGGGGAAATACATGGCACTGCACTTGGGAGAAGGGAGGCTGAGAGTCATGGCCCCCACCCCCCTCTGCCTGGTAGGGGGCAAGGGCTACCTGGCAGACTCCCCAGGCACAGTGGGCTGCCCTTTCCTTGCGCGTGGATTTCCTCCTTCCCTCCCTCCAGCTGGCAGGCATTCTGCCAGTGACCCCATGGTGGTGGCACCTCTGCTGCCTCTCTCTCTCTCTCCGTGGTTTAGTTTGTGCTTAGGGTTGCTGAGTAAATCTGCATTAATTTGCATATGAGGAAAGCAAGAAAAGAGCAGAGGCTGCTTCTTTTTAGAAGACTGTCTCTGAAGGAAGTTCTTCCTCAGGAAGGGAAAAGAAAGGCAGGCGAGCCTCTGTAAATCCATTATGCTCTTGCTTTGTTTCTTTTTCATTAGGCTATGGTATTTTTATACCTCCTCAATCACAAGACTGGCTGTCTGACAGGAACAATACAGAGAAATCTTTGTATAAAATAAAACAAAATTTGTCAGTTGCAATTTGACCAACACTTCCATGAAACAACTCTGGAAGGATAATTTACAAGCCAATTCTGGATTTTTGAAAGATTATTACTCCATGGACCTCAATGTCTAATCAGAGAATAAATCTCTCTTCAGGCCAAGCGGCAGAAACTGAATCTGGCAGGCCTGGACAGGCAGGTGAGGAGCGCTTCGCTTCACCTGGTTAGTTCCAAAACCTGAAGCCATGATGCCCCATTTGATTTGGATTTTTGGCTTAGGGTCTGTCAGGAGTGAAATGTGCTCTGCATGTCTGGGGAAGAAACTTCTCCCTCTCTCTTACACCCCCACCCCGGGCTTAGAGATTGTTCAGACTGTGATGGAGAAAGCTTCAGGCCACCCCCCCCCCCCAGAGGTAGGGCCACACCTGGTGCCGTCTCCACAAAGCAAGGTTGGGGTGGTGGATCCTCACATTCCCACCACCGGAGGCCCAGCCGGGAGCCCTGTTGGAGGCCCGTTTCTAGCCAAAAGGGCCCGGAGTGGCTTCCTTCCCTGCAGCCTTCCCCTCCTCCTTCATCCTCGACACCCACGGCCAGCCGGGAGTGGATGATGGGGGTTTCCTCTCTCTCTGACTTCCTGCTCACTTACTGTTTAGCAGGCTGTGGTTCACTGTGTCTATGGAAACCATTCGTTGCTAGGCAACAGCGGCAGCATCTGCAATGATCCCTCACATCTAATTATCCCATTATCATCCACTATGGCTGGGAGGAACTTGGGGAAGTGGGGAGTCAGGTCTTCCTCCAACGAGGAGGCAGCTTTGAGCACTCAGCAAAGGGCCCTCTCCTCGCTTGCTCACCAGCACATGAGTCCTGCTGCCCTGGGTCCTGGGCGACAAGGCCTTCTGATGCATCATGAGGCAAATCAGCTCTTTGGGGGGAGGACACCCCCCAGGGCCACTGAGAAATGCTCTGAAGTTGGGGAAGGTGAAATTCCTGGAAGGGGGGGGAGTTCACCTTCTAATTGCAAACCAGGACCTCCTAGACCTCTTCCCCCATGGCTCCTTCTGTAGATTGACAAGGGGTATCCTGCAAGGCAGGGGGGCAGCCAGGTGGGGAGGTGACCACCCAAAGGGGCAGGCTGTTCCTGGACTGGGCTTCCCTCTCCTCATTCTGCCAGTCTCATTCTCATCCCTCCATTTCTTTCGTTGCCATGGTTAACACCCACACCTATCTGGAATCCGCAAGTTCTTATCCCCCTTCCTAAACTGGAGACGGGGTATCAAGCAGTCACTGCCCAGCCAGGTTTGGCCCCTCAGATTCTCCCTACATTGGTAAAGGTCTGCAAAGGGAGGGGGTAGGCCAAGGGATTCTGCTTTCTCGGGGGGGGGGGCAGGTTTCCATCCCTTCCTTGCAAGCAGACTCTTTAATGCTGGTCACAAGGCCAATCCAGGCTCCCCAAACATGCCAGAGGGCGGGCAGAGCCAGATCTAGGGAGCAAAGGGTCCATCAGCACTTCCACTGGGGTGGGGAGGGAAAGACTGGGTGTCTGTGGAGATTCTCAGTCATCCAGGTCATGGTTGTCACAAAGGTGCTTCTTTTCAGGAGGCAACTGGCAAAGGATCCTTCCACTCCCTACCACCCAGTCAGAGCTGAAGGAGCTTCTTGGATGAGAAGTGAAACCTCTTCAAAGAAAAATAAGAAAGTCCAGTTGCCTCTTGAAACAGCAGCTTTGGGAAAGACTCGGTGGAGGACCTCGGGGCCAGCTGCTCTTAAGACTCTTCTGTCGCTACAGTCTGTTTCTCACACCGTTGGAATCTCCTCGTGGTTTCCCCTCCAAGCAATTACCCGGTTTCATCCGGCTTGACTGTTTCGAGCCCCCCCCGCCACGTTAATCATTTCTCTTTTCCCGGGATGAGCCTCGCCGCACTCGGGCACCGGGGGGCGGAGGGGAGGCGCCCCGAGGGGAGCCGAAAGCCCTCACACACGTTCAGAGGCCCCCCTTCTGTAGGCGGCGCCCACCGCGGCCGGCCGCTCCACCCATCCCGGCGCACAGGAGGGTCCCAGGCGGAGCAAGGCGAGAGCCCCCCTCCCCCAGGAAGAGCGCTGCTTGCCCGGCCCAGCAGGCGGCGCTCTGTCAGGTTAAGAGTCCGGCGAGGGCGCCCTCCGTCCCGCGGCTTCTCAGGCCGGGCTGTCCTGCGCGGTCGCTGGGCGGCTCTTCGTCTGCCCTCGGCCAGGAGCTCCCCGCGCCGGACTCGGCGGTGGCAGACTGGGCAGAACAGAGCGTCCTGGGCGCCTCCGGCCCGCACGCCCTGCCCGCCCGGGCGCCCCTCCGCGTGGCCGGCCGAGGGCTCTCCTCCTCCTCCTCCTCCTCGAAGGGGCCCCGACTGCTGCCCCCTCGCCCGCCCCGACAGGTGCTGCGCCCCAACAGGCCGCTGGGAGGCCGCGCCGGAGCAGCCGGGCGGCGCGACTCTTATTTTGACACGGCGGCGGCGGCGCCTGCCCGGAGTGGCTCCTCGCCCGGGGCGCAGCCAGCACACTCGGCCCCCAAATGAGCGGGCGGCGGCGGCGGCGGCGGCGGGCAGCGGCAGGCGGACGCGGCGGGTGCTGCTGCCCGGGGTCTCCGGCGGCTTCTGTGCGGGGCGAGGCCGTGCCGGGCGCCGCGGCGGCGACAGCGCGAAGGAGCGGCGCGAGGACCCGCCGGGAGCGCCCGACCGCCAGTTGCTGAGCGCGCGGCCCGGCAAGCGAAAGCGAAAGAGTCGCCGGGCGGACCCCGGCGGCCCTCCGCCCCCCGCGCGGCCGGCGGGAGCCACGCCACGGCCTCCCCGGAGCAGGTAAGCCAGCGCCGCGCCGCGGGCCGGAAGGGTCATTGTCCCGTCGATGCCGCCGCCGCCCGGGACGCTGGCGTGGTCGCGCTGTCAGCTGCGGAGGGCGGGCCGAGCGGGGCGCGGAGCTCCGCGCCGCCGGTACCGGAGGCGGCGGAGCTGCCTCGGAGGGCGGGATGCTCCGGCTAGCCCGGCCGAGCATGTGGATCGGAGGCGGTCCTCCGGGGCCCGTCGCGGCCTGCGGACTGCAAGCCCGGCGGCGCCTTCCCGGCGGAAGCGAGCAAGGAAGAGGCCCTGCTCTCAACTCCTACGCCCGGAGGCCGCCGCCACTGTGCTCCGCCGAGGCCCCGCGACTGGGCTTTGGCCGCCGCTCTCCCCGCCGGGCCGGTGGCCATCTTCGCGGCTGGCTCTTCCCGGCCGCCGCTGTCTTCTGGTTGGGCAAGGAGCCCATCGCCTAGCCGCGAGGACAGCGCTCGGGCGGACCGCCTGGCTGGGCCACCTCCCTTCGCCCAGCCTGGGAACCGGCGGGGCCGGCGGCGCGGCAGCTTCGTGGCCCAGCGCGGGGCCTGTGACGGAGGCCGAGGCGGCCTCGAGGGAAGCCGAGGGACCGCGCTTTGCGGCCTGAGTGGGCTGCCGTCCAGTCGGCAGGGCGGCAGCCCGAGCAGGGAAGAGGCTGCGGGCGGACCCAGGGAAGAGGGCAGCGTTTCTTCAGTGACTTCTGGCCCGAAGCCCCGCTCGGCTCCCGGCAGCCCGGCCCAAACGGCCTCTGTGACTGCTCTTCGGGGAGCACGGTCGCCGGGAAGCTGGCGCCCCGCTTGAGCCTGGGCTGAGCCCGCTGCCCGCTTAGCTTGGCGGGTTCCTGTTGGCCTTCCACTGATGGGGGGGGGGGGAAAATACCCTCGTGGCTTTGCCAAAATTGGGTTTCCTTTGCGGGAGCACTTGCCCTGTGGCCTAGGTAGGTCTGGCCCCATTTCCATGTGGTTGCCCCCATTCTGGGATGGGCCATCTCTCATTTCCTTGCTCTCTTGGCACGATGGAGCTGGCTGCGCATGGTTTCTTCAAGTGCCAAGTGGTACAGAGCTCGAATGCCCTGCGCCCCCCATTGCTGGAAGGACTGCTCTGGCACCTCTCCTGGGCGCCCCTGCCAGCCTCTCTGGCTCTACCAGCCTGCCTGCTCTGCTCAGTGGCTGCCACCCCAATGATAACAGACATTTTGGACCTGTGTCTTGAGGTAGGGGCTTAGGCTGCAGGGCACCCTCTCCATGTGCCGGATAGCTTGCCCCCCCTATTATAAATACAGGTTGTGAGGGTGCAGGTGCAAAGGGATTAGCTGTAGATCGTGTCTGCATGTTGGTTAGGAGGGATGGCTTCCTCAGCCTGGTGCCCTTCAGATGTGCAGGATACCCAGCCTACCTGCTCCTTATGGGGATGGAAGTTTGGTGGGTGCAGATTAGGCCCTTAATTTTTGCACTGACAGACAAGTCGGCTTGAGGGGGCCTTTCGGTTACTTAGCACAGGCTCCTTTCTAGGCTCATCTGAGGCTCCTCTCCTTTCTCGCTGCTTCTTCAGGAGGCTCTCAGAACCCCCAACTCCTTTTGGCCCAGGCTGGGTCTCTGGAGCACCTCATTCCCAGCAGTCTTGCTTTTGGGTGGGGTGGGGAGGATGCTCTTTAGGACATCCCTTTGCATTCATCAGACTTGCAGAGAGAGCTGGTGGCGAGTGCCCAGGCTTCAGGGGAGCTGGCTTAGGCAGAGGAGCTTTACCTGCCACATTGCCTTACCACCTGTGAAACACACACACACACCTTCTGACAGAAAGAGCAGGAAGGAATAGGTCAGTAAGCAGCGGGAAAGCAGTCTGTGCCCAGTCTGCCCGCAATGGCCTGGAGTGACCTCCCCCAGTTGGAGGAAGGGAACCCCCAGGACACTCTGGTGGCCTGGCTCTCCTGCCTTAGGGAGTCCCTCCTGGGTGATGAAATCACAGAGGAGGAAGAATATGAATGTGACTTGGAACTGCCCCCTCCCCTTATAAGAAAACTGCTGAGTAGTTGCTTTCCAAGGGGCTGCGGGCTTGGCTTGGCTTGGCTGCCAGAAGCAACAGGGTGGAATTTCCTCTGCCTCAGGCCAGCTCATCTCAGGCCGGCCAGTGTGTCTGTGACTATGGACCAGACTTGGAGGGGGGAGTGGAGACTGGAGCCAAGAGCTCCCCCCCCCTTAGGCCTGGTTCCTATTTTCTCATCGAGGCTGGGCTGTTTTACATTAGGCAGCCCCTCCCCCTCCAGGATTCCCCATGCAGCCGCTAATGAGCTGAGCCTGCCTCCCTGCCCCCCAGTTTTTGGCTGTGCTTGGAACATTTTATAACCTTTTCTGGAGGGAGGAAACGCCAGGAAGGGCTGTCTCTTGCTTTTGTGAGGGGGGGGGGTACCACTAGAAGGGGAGAGTCTGAGACCAAAGTCACAGCAGAGAGCTGCCTGCCTAGGCAGCAGCCCGGTCCCAGGAAAGGCCAGGAGCATCCCAGAGATCTGAGGCTTGGAACCATTGTGGGCAGGTGGCAGAGGGTGGCTGAAGAGCGTATATGGTAGCTTTACCGTGGAGACTTGACCCAGGCAGGCACAGTTCATGCTGGGGTGGAGGTTGCCTGCTGGAGGTGCTAAGAGTGAAAAGGAGTGAGCAGGGAGACAGGCTCAGGGTATTGGGCAGTTTTATAAGATCTTTCCAGTTTTTGCTGGAATCCATTTCCTGCTGTATAAGTACGTGTGTGCATTTTGTGGCTGCTTTTTGCGTCCACCACTTCTCACCAGAGCCCTTGCATGGCTTGGTATCCGTGACAGATGCCTAGGACTCTCATGGCATTCCCCTGCATGTCACTCAGAGCAGTGCCCTTCCTTGGGTAAGTTTGCTGAACTTTGGCTGCAGGAGGGCCAAGCGCCCTCTTGTCCGGGCAGCCTGGCTGCTGGGTTTTTTGGGATAGACAGCAGACCGGATGCGCAACACAGGCTCCTGGGTGGGTCCTGGAAGGGCAGAAACTAATGGTGCTCTTCTCTGCCAGCTGATCTCTGCTCACTCTATTTGAAGGACCCTGGAGAAGAGTGTCTTGTGCTGCGCTCCCTTGTCCTCCGGCTGATCTGCACCCAGCCTCTCTTCGTGGGATTCGCTGTCTGGGGTGGTGTGTGTGTGGGTCTCTTATTTCCCCTGCATTCTGAGAGCACCCCTGTGGGCATCTTGATCTGCAATCTTGGTGCACCGTTTAGTGCAGCCGCCTTTATGGCTTCAGTTTGTCAGAATTCCCTGTTTTCAATGCATTTTTGCTAGACTAAATGCAAGCCTGAAAATTTGAAGCAGCCTCTTCTCCCCGTGACTACAGAAGGCGTGTTGGAAATGTCCCCCCCAGCCCCTAAAGCATGTATCGCCCCCACTTTTTGCCTTTCTGCAGAGAGATGTGTTTTCTTTTGCCTGTGCTACAGGAAGAGGAAAGTAGTGGGAAACTGGTGGGGGGGGCACTAACCCTCCCCAAAAGGCAAATTCTTTCTTGTCACTGAAGCTGATTCACCCCGTGGTATCCTCAGCCTGATTGGAGTTTGGGACAAAAGTCTTGAGGTTTGTAGCCCAGTGTCATGTGAATCGAGAGCTGCTCTCCTTCCCTTCCTTTCCCATGTCTGTTTATTTAAGACCCCAATTTATTTATCCTTTCCCTTGTTATGGGAGGTCTCCATTGTTCCTCATTATGCCTCAGGTCTTGCATATATTTGTCCTGCTGGCAACTCATTTGTAATGCAATCCTACGAAGTCGAAGAAAATGGAAGGCACCAGCACACCCTGCCATTCTCCTGGCAGTTTCTCAGGCAGTTTCTCAGTCACTCCCTGGCACATTGTGCACCTGCTGGACTCCCTTTCTCTTACAAAACCAGCTTCTTCCAGGAGAGAGAGATGCTTAATTGTTGCATATGGAGAGGATCACCTTGGCATGGCTGCACTGCAGGAGGCTGAGTAGTTGGGGTCAGGGCCTTACAAAGCTCTTAAGAGAATAACAGAGTTGGAAGGGACCTTGAAGGTCTTCTGGTCCAACCCCTGCTCAAGCGAGAGACTCTACGTCATTTCAGACAAATGTCTGTCTAGTCCCTTCTTAAAAGCCTTCAATGATGGAACACCCACAACTTCTGAAGGCAAGCTGTTCCATTGTTTTGCTGTTCTCACTGTTAGGAAGTCTCTTCTTAGTTCTAGGTTGCTTCTCTCCTTAATTAGTTTCCATCCATTGCTTTTTGTCCTGCCTTCAGATGCTTTGGAGAATAGCTTGACCCCCTCTTTTTTATAGCAGCTCTTCAAATATTGGAACACGGCTGTCATGTCATCCTTAGTCCTTCTTTTCACTAGACTAGACATACCCAATTCCTGCAACCATTCTTTATATGTTTTAGCCTCCAGCCCCGTAATTATCTTTGTTGCTCTGCACTCTTTCCAGAGTCTCAACATTTTTTTTATATTGTGGAGACCAAAACTGGATGCAGTATTCCAGGTGTAGTCTTTCCAATGCCTTATAAATCCGTACTAACACTTCGTGTGGTCTTGATTCTATCCCTCAGTAATGCAGCCTAGGATTGCATTGGCTTTTTTGACAGCTGCAACACACTGCTGGCTCACACCTCCTGCCTGAGCAAAGGGTTGGACTAGAACAGTGGTTCTCAACCTTTCTAATGCCGTGACCCCATAATACAGTTCCCCATGTTGTGGTGACCCCCAACCATTTATACATCACCGGGTGCCAGGGGCGTGGCCAAAGAAAAGGGGGAAAAAATGGCGGACAGCCTTGTTTGGCGACCCCCGTGAAATGGTCGTTCGACCCCAAATGGGGTCCCGACCCACAGGTTGAGAACCACTGGACTAGAAGACCTCAAAGATCCCTTCCAATTCTATTGTTATTGTTATATTTAAATGATTGTCCATTCCTCTTGCCTCTCTGCTTTGAGTCAGGTTTCACCTAATCTGTAACTGTACATTTGGTTTTTCTTGCCC